ATTCATTCGTGATTGCAAGCACTTTAAACGTATGAATCGCAACTCATGCGCTTGATTCAGGCTTTGCAATGCCCCGTTTTTCATTTTTCAGAACGCCTCGAGCACGTTTGTCGATAACTGTGACATCTCATTGTTCGGGGATTCCATTTGTATTCCTTTGTATCTACTTTTTTGTATCCATTCGGCTTCTTCTTTATGCGCTTTGCATCGTCAATGTCCTTCTACAGAGCTGCAGCAATTCTTTTGCATTCGGACCAATGATATCCCCTGTACGAGGGGGTTTTCCTTTACCTCCAGCTTTCTATAGAAAACCGTAACATCTTAGATTATGGTCTTGTTTGCACAGCTCAAATATTCTGGCATGTCCGAAGCTCTGAAAATAAAGCTAACAGCCTCGGCTTAGCATGCACAAGATCAGCTTTGACTGAATTATCTGGTCCATCTCAGTATTTTTCTTGCATTCGTCGGTGCGATCTTCATGTTGCCCTTGTTCAATTACTGTAGTTGGTTTACTTTTTGGCGTATTTCTTATTGGTTGATCTTGATTATTCTTGACCATAATGGGTCTTTTCTGCTTCTCAAATTTTTTTCTAGCTGAACGCAAAGTTTCATCTGCATCATTTCATTAAAGAATACTAAATTACTTGTTATATCATCTACAGGATACTGCTAGCTTGAATGATATATCTACGCAGCTCTTTCGTGCCTCTGACAAGAGAGATACGTCTCCAATGTGCTTCAGGCCTTTCAGACTCTTGAAAAATCTCCTGCGAAATCGAAATCTTTTACCATTCAGCCGAATGACTTTTGTCACATCAACCATTTCGATTTTTGGTCTCATAGGTTTCCGGGATGATTTCATAAATATATTGAGCTGGTTGATCTGCTTGTGAGATGGTGTCACTACCAAACTCTCTTCTGATTTCGTCTAACTCAAAATTTATTTTCAGCACATTCTACTCAATGAGCCATTTGTGGTTCGTTAGACGTTTCTCGCTTGTGTTACTGATTGGGTAGGCATTCTTCGATTCTTCCAGCATTTTTTTCCGATAACGCATGACTTGCTTTATTGTAATGAAATCGCATTTCAATGCACTTACTTTCTTCCTTCGATCACTGTCTGCGCATCCGTAGCCGTTCTGTCACTCTCAAGGCGCAGAAAGACTTGTAGCAGGTTCGATTAACTCACTTATAACTGTCTGACTCAGTTCTTAAATAGCCTGCATAGCATTTGGCAACCTGGGCGTAGAACAAGGCTCAACGAACAAACCTCCTGCCTAGGATGGGTAGGTTTGCTTGCAGCTGAAGCTCATGCTAGCATGGCTTCTGAAGTCACTGAGGCATGCAAGCCCAGCCCCCATGTCAAGTTTGCGATCTCGGCAGGACATGATTTTTTCATTAGAACGACCGGAATCAATATGAATGCTATGGTTGAATTAGGGGCTGATGTATGGTTTAACAAAATAGAGTGTAGTGTTCTCTTGTCCATGTTTATCAGAAACCACAAATTAATTCTAGAAGTAGTTTCAACAATGTCTTTAAAAGCCGAGGGACATGGGGATAAATCTGCTTTGAGTCACAAAAACCTT